AAGAGTTAAAATTGTTGTTGGGGCTGCGAAAGGGCTTGAATACTTGCATGAAAAGGCACAACCTCATATTATCCATCGTGATATAAAGTCCAGCAATGTTATGCTTTTCGACAATGAATTGTTAAGATTGCAGATTTTGATTTATCTAACCAACCCCAGACATGGCAGCACGTCTTCATTCCACTCGTGTTCTTGGTACCTTTGGTGTGTTTTTAGATATARCAGCTATTACATGTTCATATTTTTAWAACATTTGACTTGTTCAAAACAACAAATTGCTCCTTATGTGTGTGTGTTTTGATACAGCAGCTGTTACATGTTCATTTAATAATACTCTAACTTGGTGAGATACTCTAATGTGTACATTGTGTTACAATATCAAATTGGAATCTGTAATGCACACAGAACCTCATTGTCAACTGCTGTTTTTGGGCCTTATGATCATGATGGAGTTATGCACCATAATGGCATGCTTTTTCTTGCTGTGTAGCTTGATTGTTATTACCAGCCAAACAACAACTGTCCAAACAACAGCTGTAGCCAAACAGCAGTTGCAGCCAAACAGTAGCCCGTGAAAACAGCATATGAAGAACATGTTTTTTTATAGAAAATTGTTTCTTGCCTATATGTACAACATGTTTTTTAAGATGGCAAGTGTTAGATTCCTTTTTTGATTCATCAATTCTCAAGGTTGACAATGCATTAGTGTTACTGGTTTGCAACTACCTGGTGTTATTGASGACCTTTTCTCTTATACAGGTCCTCTTGGTGCTATTTTCTCAAGTAAAGTAGTCTCACTTTTTCTATGGGCTCCAACCGCTCAAGTAACTTCACTTTTAATATTTACTTTCTGTGTTCACCTGAAATATATTAATATACCTATTTGAACTTCTTGGCTCATGTGTATCTTAAAATTGGAAGTACTAGCACTAATTTATAGTGGATCCTCTGGCGACGAAGCAAATGAGATTGTCCAACTTAAGGAGTCTGATGGTGTTTGGAGTGTGAATGGTCCAAGAAGTTGGGTGGGGTGCTATTATGTCTATGAAGTATCTATCTAACATCCAACACCTTGAAGATAGAAAAATGTATTGCAAATAACCCATATGCATGAGGGTATGTTGTCCCGATCGTTTCTTTCCTCGGGTCATTATGATTATGTAGTGTATTTGCCCAGACATTGCTTTCTTTTCTTTGCTAAGCTCTCAGGTGATGGGAAGCGGACTTTTTTAGCCAATCTTGATTCCGATGCTTTAAAACCTTAGGAATAGGTTAATTTGGCAGATGAAAAGCCTGAGATAGCATATTTTTCTGATGTTAGTATCTATGAACTGCATATAAGAGATTTTAGGTATGCCATTGATAAGTGATATTTTATGCATTTTAATGTCGAAATTACCTAACAATTATTATTAACTGGATGTTAAAAATGGCTAATTTATAAACTATGTTGTTACTGTGGTCAAAATACAAAATATTGGTCAAGACTGATATTCGATATTTCGGTTATATCGATGATATATCGGTCCAAAATAGCGGTTAATATAATATTTCTTAGAATTAAAAAATATATATTATATGTATGCATCCATAAACATATCATATGCATTAATTAGAGTTTAGAAATATAGTTTCAAAACTAAAACATCACATAAACAAGTCTCRCAAAACAAAATAGGAAAAGTGTTCAAAAACGAGCTAATCGCAAACAATAAGCATGAACTGTGAAAGAACCGAGAAGAGAAGAAGCGTGAACTGTGAAGAACCRAKAAGAGAAGAAGCGTGAGACTTAATATATGTGTTGACTGGTTGACCAAATAAAGAGGCCAAACATTTGTCTTATAGAAAAAATCGGTATATCGGACCAATTTTTCCGATGAAATATCGGCGATATTATCGGAACCGATATTTCACCACCGATATTTTGGCCGATATTTCACCACCGATATTTTAACAGGGTTCGATATCCGATATATCACCGATATTTCACCACCGATATTTTGATTGGGTTCGATATCCGATATATTACCGATATATCATGATTTTAACAGCATAAAATAACCACACAAACTCATGATTTAAAGTCAAACTAATGTTTCCGGATTGCGATTTACCCGCGCTGCATCGCGCGGGTACACCACTAGTATATATATATATATATATATATCATTTTGAAACACTGCCTTCCACAGTCCAAAATTAAGTAAAAATTTGGGGGTTAGAGATGGAGATTCAAGTAGCAGCATCACGAACAGTCCACTAAAGAAATGATTGTTCACCTCAACCTTTGGTTAGGTTTAATTTAAGGTTTAGAATGCATATCCAAGTCAAATATTGAAATATTTAGGTCAGATGTGCAACTTGAAGGATTGTTGGTACTTCAAGACAATTCCAACATCGAAGATTTTGATTCAAATCAAGTGATTTCAAGTCTTATTGGTTTTTCAAAGATGAACTAGATCCAGATCCAGCAGTAGATTTGTTCATGGTGCTCTGATGGTGTAGACAAAGAAGAGTGGGCCATGATGTAGATCCATATCCAATAAAGAAAAGGGTGTGATGAACCACCACCATTTGTTCCTGGTTATGGTTTGGAGTTGGATTTGTTTTCCAAAGATGAAGATTAGATGAATGAGGTGGGGCGGGGTGGTGGTAGGGCTGTAAACGAACCGAACGTTCAGCGAACCGTTCGTGAACCGTTCGGCGGGAAGTTCGTTTATGTTCGTTTATTTAATAAATGAACGAACATGAACAAATTTTTTCGTTCGTTTAGTTAAACGAACGAACATGAACAAGAGTCTCGTTCGTTCATTTACGTTC